GCTCGCTCTTTTTTTTTTTCTTTCCTTCTTTCTCTCCTTGTCTCGTCTTCCTTTTTTTGTTTGTTTTGTACACAAAATACCAACTATCTGTGCTGGAAAACGCACATACTGCTTGTACGCCTCGATATAATATATATATCTATGTATATATGTATAATATTTATATATGTATATGGTGTGTACGCTCGCGTTTAGGGCGCCAGTTTTCTTAATTTCATGGTATTTTTTTTTTGTTCATTACCTGAAATCAAGTATTTATAATTACTCATTCGTTCTGCCATGCATAATTATCGTTTAGCGTGTAGCGTGGATCACTATTGGCGGTGTGTTTTACAATGTGTGTGTGTGTGTGTGTTTTTTTTTTCATTTTCTTCTCGTTACGCCTAAAAATTGCCATTCTCTCTCTCTCTCTCTCTCTCGCTCTCGTCACTAGTTTTATTTACAATCGTTCGTCGTTTAATTAGTCGTTATGTTTCGCATGTTGTGTCCTATACACGTTGCTCATAGATCATTCGTCCACGATAGTGTCTCTCTCTCTCTCTCTCTCTCTTTCACGACGAAAAGGGTGAGAATTATTCGAGGAAAAAAAGAAAAACAAAGAAAAACATTGGAGAAGGACAAAGAAAAATGGGAATATTCTGAGGAGAATTTTTTCACTTTTGTCTGAGACTTTTCCCATTTTTACTCTCGTCCTTTCGTTCTTTCTAAACTTTCACATCAGACCCCTAAAATACTATCGACCTTCTTCGATCGTTACTCTCTCTCGTTCACACTTACTCTCTCTCTCTCTCTCTCTCTCTCGTTCTTTCTTCTCGATTTAATTAAACATTCACGCACGCAGCGCACACATACGACACACCAGACAACCCGGAAAAAAAATTAATAGATATATTTGTTCGACTACACGGTAGCCACAGCGCTCGACCAATGGAACGAGAGAGACACTTCATCTCCCTAGCTTACATTGTTCCTTTAATCACGTGCGTCTCCGTGGTTCACTAAAGAAGGTCTTCATTCTCTCCCTCTTCCCTATCCCACCCCATAATCATATCCTCTTCTTGTCTGACACCTTCGACGACCGCGAAGTTAGCGAAATTTTTATTTCTTTTTTACCTTTTTTTTCATTTTTTCTTTCGCTTGGGTTTGTTTGCTTATAATATCGAACAGCGGAGTTCACCGACGGGTTACGAGAGTGATCGATCATCCGATCCTCTCACCCCATTGGACGATCGTTAAAACTAAGTTACTATTTAGAAGGAAAATCGACTCGCCGTCATGACTTACGTCCACAGGGAGAAAACTCGCGTGATCGAATTCTTCTGGGCTGTCGAGAAAAATTCCTACGATCGAGTGTTTCTTTCTTTTTTCAGAAATGATCGTCAAGGAAAATCTTGATAATCGTTCTTCTCGAGAGGACAAAAAGAAAGAAACTCGACCGGACAAATTTTTTCTCTCTTGTACCGTTTTTTTTTTTTCTTTCTTTCTCTGTGTTTCTGTTTCTATTCGATTTTACTTGGTGTCGTACGATTTATTCATCGAAACAGAAGGTGTCAGCGACGAGTTCCCTTTTTCGATTTGGTTTCGACGCGAGCTTACACGAGCGTTAAAACGAATGACGATCATATGCTGCAGAGACAGGAAGCTTTGAAGGGGCTTTAAGCGTGCAAGACACCAAAGCAGCACGTTCAAAATTCTTTCGTTATTTTTCCTTTTTTTTTTCTTTCTCTCAAGAAAATTCTCGAAACGCTTTCTCTTTATGATCGACGATCAAACGATCTTGTCCAATTGGTTACAAAAACGTCTACTACGTGTGCCGATCGAAAGGTTCAAAATCTTGTCTACTCTATGTTCAATTTTAGCAGAACGATCAACGGCGGTGTGTGTCCGATAGCGTAGACAAATTCTCCCCATTGTTTCTTTCCTTTTTTTTTTTTCTTTTTGTTGCTTCAAGATTGACGATGCTTCCACGATCGAAACGCGTGATCGAAAATGAACGAGGATCGCAGCGTCGCCTAGCGATGACAATAACAATAATAATAATCACTAAAGTACGCGCTATGTATATTTACTTCTGTACAAATTGTGTAATTGCACAATGCGTTCTCTTTCTTTGCTTATTCTTTTTGCTCTCCTCCCTTACTCCTCGCTTCTCTCCACGCGTTCGTCGCGAAACAAAAAAAAAAAAACGGAGTTACGTCTATGTTTTTTCTTTTTCCCCTTTTATTCGTATCTATTCTGTTCATTTTGCTTTTCCTCGCGTTTCGTTTCCCTCTTTTGCATTTCTTCCTTTATATCAAATGTTTCTTTATCATTATTATTATTATTAGTAAGTCAGTTAAGCGTTTGCTCCTCAAGGCAGCTCCGCAAATAGAGAAATAGTGATACCTGGCAGTAAAAAGGAAAAATAGTATTTTTTTTTTTTTTTGTTTCTTTTCTTGTCAATTTAAACAAGATTGTCATAGATACTCGCACGCGTGTCGAATCAAACGCCTCTGTCCGCGCGCGCACAAAAATGGAACAATGCTTAAATATAATAAACTACGCGACAGTTTTCTTTTAGAGCGATACGAATAACGAAGTGATCGATTTTTTCAGCGTCGATTAAAATCACGATTCGTGGAATTATATCGATAAATCACATAACAACCGCCCATATACAATATACCGCGAAGCTTTGCACATTTTGCGTCTTATTTTCTTTACTAATTTGTTACACATTTTGTTCGTTCGTTTCAATAAAAAACGATGCAATAATATTCGTTTGAGTTTCGTCGAAAAATGTTTCGTTTTTTTCTTGTTTTCTGTTTTACCACGGTTAACAATTGAATTCGTGTGTTTGTGTGTGTGTGCGTGTGTGTAGTATGTTTGTACGTGTTCGATAAACATATAAAAATATCTCAAACTAACGTATATCTTTTAAAAAAACTAAATCGAAAAGCTAAATCAATCGTTTTCTTCTTCTTTTCTTCGACGATTCTCCACTATTTTTCTTTTTTCGATTTGTTTTTTTCACCTTGTAAACGCACATATCTACCCTTCGCGTTTCCCACGTGTCGAAACTGAGTATTTTTCGCAAAAACTATCCGCAAGATATCATTGTCACACGAACGCTAGATAGGGTTTAAAACATTTTCTCTGTAGGAATCGCTTTTGCTTTTCACGTATACGCGCGCGTTCATGCCAGGTGACACTGACGAGCTAGCTTGATGGCAAAAGAGAAGTTACGCTGTTGTAGTTTCCTTGCTTTATTTATTACATCTATATGGGAAAGATCCCGTTCGCACGCGAGAGCTCACGCCGTCTCTTCTCTCGTTTCTTTTAATTTTAATTGTAATTCTCTTATCATCGAAGAAAAAAATTCTCTTCGATCACGAAGTCTTCGTCGATCGGTTCTACCTTCTAGTATAGTCTGTCGTCGATTTAACTACTCCCAATGTATTACGTTTAGAGTTCGAACTGTGTACGTTAAAGTGATTATTTCAAAGTTTATCTCAAACTTCTCCCTCTCCTTTCCATTATTTCTCACGTTCGCGCTAAAAGTTCTTAGTCAACGTCTCGCCGGGCGAACTTGTCCGGAGAGTTGATCAAAGTTTCATAGACGACGAGGCGTCGGCGTCGCGGCGGAAACAAGAGAACGAGGGACAATTGTCTGAACAATTCTTCGCGCGAACACGCTCGTAGAAAATAAAAATGTCTCGAACGTGTGTGTACATTATACATGCATATAACCACGGCGGAACGACGCTTCTCGAAAATCTTGAGAACGCTGTACAAAAAAAAGAAACCCTCGGCTCTATCCCTTCAAATATAATTCGTTAATCTGCCTCTCTATTTAAAGTCTTCCTCGTTTTTTCCTATCCGTAAATACTCTTCTCCCTATTTACTTACACTTTATCTATACATCGTGTGTTTACTTCTTTCTCCTTCATATTTTGGCATCGACAGAATGCAAAAATGCTCAAAAAGATGTCCGCGCTAGACGCGACAAAGGATTCTCTTCCTCGAGGATTTAGACGAACGGCCGAGCGAGCTCGAGTGCGAACGAGAGCCTCGACGAGGAGAAATCGACGAGTGATCCAGCGCGATCATCTCCCCTATCTGTCTCTCCGTTCCTTTCTTTCTCAATTGTTTCGTCGAGACAGGCCACCCTATCACAATCTTCGTCGACGTCGTCGCGGAGACGTTCGTCGTCAGCGCGGATGACCCGTTTGATGAATCTTTTCCTTTCTTTTTCTTTTCTCGGGGATGGGTGGTGGATGAGATGTGACGACTACCGGATGAGAGAGACGACGACGACGCGATGCATGAGACGCAGAGGACGACGACGAATGACAACCACGACGCAGGGGAGGAACGTGATCATAAATGAAACGAACGTCACCGTCGTCCGAGTGTGTAGTAACCGCGGACGTTGTACAATTTTACTCTCCTCCGCCGTCGTGAAATAATCCTCGGAAGCCACACGATCAACCGAGAGAGATTTATCCAGCCTCGACGCGAGGCCACCACACTGCACCTTCACCTATACCCGCACCACACTGTAGCACCTCAACACATTGCAATTGTCATGGCCTATGGAACCTGGAACCGAGCGGAATACAAATATACTGGGGTCTGAAATAATCTGGGCCAGCGGAGTGATTTACTGGACGACGATGATTCAATGGTCTGGTTCGTTCTTTTTTTTTTTTTTTCTCTCCTTCTCTTTTAACCACTTGCCCTACAATAACGAGCGGCAACACTCGCCGCCTGGGCGATTACGTGCCGAAACTGGGAAACACGAAGTGAGTGGCTGTACGGTGCAAACATGATAAACGTGATTCTTGTGGTTGTTAGTGGAGTAAGTGAGACATTTTTGAATCCTTGTGTGAGCAACTGAAATTTTCAGGACTTTCCCGAGCTTTGATATTTGAAATTGGTTCTATATGTGTTTTTATATTGTGACCAAATTATCAGAGCAGTGGTTCCCAACCTGTGCTCCACGGTAATTGGATAAATTTATCGTGGATTAAAATTACTGTTTACGCGTGAAACCATTGAAAACCAAGAAAACCATTTGAAAATTTTACGAGATGCGGAAACATATTTAGACGACAAACTTACTTCGTTTTAATTTAGGTAAGTGTTCCGCCAAAAAATGTTACTCGCACTTCAGAACAGGTTGGGAAGCACTGAAAAATATGTCTCTTGTGTTTCTGTAGAAGTAAAGTCACGATATCAATTTTCCAGTATAGAGAAAAAAGTTGAACTTAGCTTATGTAGTTATGAAAAATACTCATGTGTTTGGTAGCGAAAGCTTTTGCCGCAATTACCGCCTTGATTCCTTTGGGCATACTTTTGATATATTCAGAGTAATTTACTATACGTTATAGGCAGTGGAAACACAGCAATCAAAATTAAAATACTCAAAATCTATAAACCAACGAAACTGTAACACGCGGTTGTCGATAGAAAATAACATCCACATGACAGATAATATTACCTAAAGTGTCGCCAAGTGTGTACTTGCAAGCATCAATGCCTCGTAAAAAAAATAATAGAGATTCAGTGTAACTAAGTTTTCGTCTAAAAGTTAATCGTTATAATGTAAAACTGTGAATTTCTTGCAGGTGGCTCTAATAATTTGATAGCCCGCTGCATATCGACGTGAAAATGTTGAAAAATGGGATTCGTAGCGATTTTACGATACTTTCGCAAGAAGATAAATTGTTAGAGGAAAATATAGAAAAACGATTGCTTATACAAAGGTTAAAAAATTTGAAAATATTTTGTTCTTAATTGTTAGTCGAATCGAAGTCCTAACACGGAAGTGAAAAATCGTAGGGCAAAGGGTTAAGTTAGAAGGCGATGCAAACAGGAAAATGTTGGGCTAGAAAGAGATTTTTGTTTACAGGAGGAATTAATGCAATGATATATCGTGTCGTTTCAATGGTAAAGTTGGAAAACTGCAAAATGGAATTTTTCAGGAGAGAACCTGTTTGTTAACTAACGTAAAATCTGTGACAAACTCATGCTGTTTGTATTTACTTTTTTGGTTGGTATATGAAATCAACGTAAAGGTGATTTTCACTGCTGAAAAATTCAATTGTTGCAATTTCGCAGTTTTATCGGCGGGACGATAATATTGATTCAGAAGATGAAATAGAAATTCTAAATTTTCCATCATTTTTGCGTGCAGATTGCGTGAAAAAGAATTTACAGGTAGGTTAAGTCATTTTTCTCGAATCGAACACAATGGTTGCATTTAATATTTTGAGACGGTTGTGTGAAATGTAAATCGTGCTCAAATTGAAACCATACTAGGTAGTTTTCAATGTTACTTCACAACTGAGCCGCTCATTTGCCAAATCGATTAAAACTCCGTAAGACAAAAATTAGAAAAAATTGCTTCTGAAATAAATCATTATTCGACAGCCCTAAAAATCGTTGTCATTTAGTGGTTTTAAGCCTAATTACCAAGGAAATTAATTTTAAATACAAAAAGATGAGCATCAATCAAGTGCGTTGGCACTAAAATTTAAAAACACTGAAGAAGTGAAGTTTATCACTTTGGCCTGTGAACGGCTCAAGAATTGCCCTCAACATACAATTCCATAATTGCTAGAGTTTTACTTTAATACCTACTCTAGATATTGCTTATTAAAATTCTCTCTAAAGTGTAATTAAATTGAAGTCACCGTTCCAATGAGCATGATTTGATCTGTAACACGGAAATACTTATTAACAGACTGAGGATTTTTATGCAAATTCATATTTTCAAATTTTCGCTCGTTATCTGCATTCTGCGTGTTTCCGTGCTTTCAAATTTTCCACAAATGCGTGAAAATCCCAGTCTACTTATCAAGAATTGAAGAGTATACCTGGTGAGGTGTCGGCTGTCCTCATGAACGGCCATCTCCGAACTCTTAAACTCGTTCAACTCCTTCCTAATGGCTGCCTTGTCCTTAGGAGTCAGCCGCGTCCAGGGTTTGTCGGCTCTTCTGTCGTAGTCGTGAGCCTGCGTGACTTCGATGTAGTCGTTGAACCTGATAATCTATTCAAACAAAGTCCCAACATTATCCAATTCTTCCTTTATTCCAGCTACTAGGCTCATCCCATAGATTCCAGCCGAATAAGAAAAATATTTCATCGAAAATTCAAGGAAATACTAATGATCTTACCAAAAACAATTCTTTCTTTTTTCATCAAATTTAAAGGTTCGTCAGGAACTTACGAGATGACCAAACAAATCCATCATTGACTGAAAAACAATAGTAAAACAAGTACCTTCTTTTCCTTGAGTTCTTCGACAGTCGGTCGAAAGCTGAGCTTTCGCAACAGATACCGTTTCTTCTCTTCTTTCTGCTTCTTCTCCTCTGCGGGACTTTGCTCTGCGAATAAACGACAAAGATTGTATATCATCCGAAATGAATCACTCGTTATTTTTCATCGTATCTCTCAATTACGAAATAACTCGATAATTACAACCCTATCGAGATACGAAGATTAAGACTAATTTTATAACAGTTTAATTACTCGACAAAAATCTCCACATCGCAGGACACAGAGCTCGATTACTCGACAGAGATCTTTTTTAGGCGCGAGTTATAGAAAATTTGAAGTTCTCACTTTTCAAAATATTCCGCTCCTCAAGCTCCTCTTGGGTTGGCCGCATGCTCAGCCGCCTGAAATAGGAATGCCACGAATCAGTACAAGTCCATCGATCTTAATCCGCTTTACTCCCGAGCGGCGATCGGTTGAAATGGCCAGGGGAGGGTGTAAGATCCACGCGGAGGCAAACAAGTGAATCAACCGTGGTCAACTGTTTGCCCCGTGATCCGGTGTAATCGCCTCAGTGACAGCTGTCGGTTCAGTCTTGTCTTCCTCGACGGATACCACCGCTCGAGACTTTCGTATGTTGTACCGGGCGTCGAATAAATCGCTTTAAGCTCGTTTCGGGAAATGAATCTACGCGCTTCAAGTGTGTGAAACGTGTGCTTTCAGGATTTTTAACCCCCTCAGGTGTGACCTTTCTTACCGACTGCGCGTGTGAACGTAAGTTTGTTATTTTAATACTGTGCGAAGCAAGGAAACATAGTATATTATACGTTCCTTGCAATTTGATGAAACTCTGGTGGAAAATTATTTTTAATTAAAACGGACCTCTTTAAAACAGACTGAAATGTGAAATTGTATTAGAACAATTCGTGTTTCGTTACAAAAAATTCATATTCTAGAATTCCAAATCACAAGTAGAAATTATAATGCGAGGTTTGATAAAAAACAAATAAAAGAACTTGAATAAAAAATTATTTTAAATTAAGATGGTCCTCTTTGAAACAGTTTAAAATAGACTAAATAAATAATTGTATATTTCATTAGAAAACATGAATATTACTAATTGATTCTTAATTAAATACTAAATTACAAGCGCGTATCGTAATACGAGGTTCGATAAAAAGGAAATACACGAATGAAAAGTTATTCCAAATTAAAACAGTCTTACAGTCCTCTTTGAAATGATTTTTTGCACTTCTGAAAACACTCTTCGTACATACTTCCAGAAATTGCTTTCAGATCAGCTTCCGAATTTCGTTTTGTCCCTGGGATCGTTTGAAATCGTGCGTCCCTTTAACGAACTCTTCGGCTTCACAAGCGGAAAATAAGTCGCGCAAAACGAGTCGAGTACAGTGGATGAGAAAAGAAAAACGACTGCTTTTCACTGAAAATTGAAACTGTACTTCAACGAGCGTTCCACTTGAGAAATCGCGGAGATAGAGAAAATTAGATTACAAAAACCGCGGTAAATCTCGAAAGAAATTGAATTCGAATTAAATCACCAATGGTAATCACGTCGTATTGTCTCGCCGGTTTCTCAAAAAGAATTACCTTTCGAATTATTCTCTTCACTTACATGTTGTTAAATTCAAATTCATGGTAAAAATTCTGGCGAAGGTGTTACAAACACAGTTGTATCAGTAAGTAAAATTAATTTGAATTCTACGTACAATTTTCATTTATAATAGTGAGATTTGTAAAATCAAATTGTAAAGAGTTCATCAAAAGGACGCACTTTTTCAGACGATTCTAGAGACAAATTCGAAGGCTGGTTTGAAACCAATCTGTGAAAGCGTCTACGAACAGAATTTTCAGAAATGTAAAACACTAATTTCAAAGAGTACTATAAGACTATTTTACAGAGGATCATTTTAATTTAGAATAATTTTCATTCATGTATTTCCTCTTTATTAAACCTGGTATTATATGTGCTTGTAATTTAGTATTTATCTAAGGATTAATTAGTAATATTCATTTTTTGCAACGAAACATGAAGTTCTAATACAATTTTTCGCAATATATTTTACACGTTTAATGCAAAGATTCACCATTTCGAACACCCTGTACATGATACGTATCCACCAAAAGTGTGTACACACTCTGTTGTTCTCGAAATTCATCGGAAGCACAATAAAGCTGTTTACGCTGTTCAAATTAGTCAAGCAAACCCGATATTTCCCTCAAGATCCGACGTTACTCACAGATTCCCATATCTACTTCAAATTCCCCTCAAAGTACACACTCTAGTGGAATTAATCCTCTCCGCCGATCAAAGAAAATTCCTAACACGCGATTTTTAATTCCATTAAAAAAGAGAAAAACCATTAAATCATCCCATAACTTCGTGTCGAATTACGAAGAAACCTTCAAATTTAGTAGTAATACACAACGTTTTTCTATTTTTTTCTTTTTTTTTACAAGACCGTTATATATCGTCGCTACGGTATTTTCTTGGACCGACATCGAAATATTTTTCTCCTGGCACGAACTTACAGCACCACCAAATACAAATAACTCCATCGAATCCCTCCATGGTGCGTCGAACTTTTCTCACGTTTCCAACAAAATTCGACGAACATTCGCGTGTACACGTCGAGAAAACCTGGTACACAATACGCTCAATAACATCTCTCCCCTTAACGTCCAACTCCGGCTGACCCATTTCAATCCATTGAATTAATATTAACACGAGTGAATGAATTATTAAAGTTTCGCGATGGGAGATCGATGGACGGATGTATCAAGGTCGTTTTCAAAGCCAACCTCTATGCAATAGATAAGTATTTACGTAAATACCATTCCTGAAGCTTCTCTTCGAACGAAGATCGAAGAAACGAACCCCTCGAAGGAGGGTTTCCATTGGAATCGAGGAAACAAATCTTCCCGCTCGCCCGATTAATTCCTAAATTTAGGACTCGACGTCAATACAAGTGCATAAATTCACGGTAACTACTACTACACACGGTGGCCCGATATCGCCAACAGTTCAGGGCTCGCTTTTCTATGCCCGGAGACGGCCGCTATTCATGGCGGGCGCGAGATACGCGAGGATTCAATGCGGACGATCAATGGTGCTCCCTCGAATAATGCTCGCCACGCTCTCCTCTCCATCATTTTCCTTTTTTTCACTCCTCCCCTTTTCATCTCCCCTCTTTATTTTAGCCGCTCTAAGGACGCGCGCGGTTTATCGGAGCTTTTTAACGATCCTCCGCGAAGAAGCTCCTTTTTTCTTGCTTTTTTGTACGAATTTGTTTTATTACGGTTAGGACGCGGGGAATTTCGTTAGGAACGCTGGCGGAAGCTAATTTTATCCGGTTTCAGAACTGTTAACTTTTAGCGAAGATGACCTGATTCTTCGGTTGGAATAAATTCGTTCTTTTTTTTTTTTTTGGAGGGATGTAAATTTGAATTTTCAGAGTTTTGTTTTTTAAACGGCGGAATTTCATTTTGTATGGTTACGAGCGTGACCTGATTCTTTAATTTGTGCCTGTTCTGTTTGATCGTTTACCGCGAAGTTTCTATTTTTCGGGGGATGTTAGTTTGTTTTAGGTCGATCTGGATACGAAGGTCGCCTGATTTACGAATTTTAACGATTCTCTATAAAATTTCGTTTAGCTTTGATTTTTCTCTTTCCGTTTTAATTATTTTTGACGAAATTCCTCATTCTTCTGCGGAAAATGATTACCTCACGTGTTTGACCCTTTGAGTGTGTTTAGTAAAAAGTATAACGAATGCAATTCATTAAAATTTGAATGAGAAAAAATAAAATACTTTCACATGATTCACAAGTAATTTAAGTCATAAAAAAGTTTCCACTTTTTCGCCACAATTTGGCGAGCACTCAAAGGGTTAACCCTTTCATTGTAACAGAATCTGTTCTTTTTGTCGTATTTAAAATTTGGTTTATTAATTAAGACAGAAGTACACAAAGAATAAGTTCAATTATTAAATTAAGGGTGGAAGTGCATCCGAAACTTATAGGCGCCAACAGCAATGAAAGTGGCCTAAGTCATATATTGTTTGTTTCGAAATATTTCGAATTTTCCCTTTGGATATACTCAAAAATATTTGTTCGCTATGGAATAAAATACTTCACAGAATACTTGCTCTTATGATACAACCGTTTTCTACGAAAAGATCGACGTAACACAAACCAACTGATAAATTCAATCGTTTTCAAAATGTTTTATTTAGACTACTTTCCTAATCGTCAGCACAAATATCACCTAATTTCGCATTTTCTCGTGTCCTCAGCGATACCAATTTGTCATTCTTATAAATTCGATGGATTGAAAATGGACGGCACTTTTTAACACCCCTTTTGTCGACGATAAAAAAAAAAAAGGCGAAGAAAGGAGTAAGAATATTTTTTCGTCACCTGATGAGCTTGGCACCAATTGCTTCCTTCGTTTCCTGCCTCTCATTGTCTGTCTGCAGCTGAAGGATGTTCCTGTTGATGAGCTCTTGCCTGTCTGGCCTCAGGGCAAGTTTCAACGACAGCGACTCCTTGCGCGCAATCTTTGCTGCCAACCGGCCTGCAATTAGAAAAACAATTAGTATCTTAATTAAACATCACTTACATGCTAGCGCCGCTCAGGCTGATCGTCGGGCTCCTCTCCTTTTCCACGATGGAATATTAGTTTCGAGGAGATCATAATTAATTCTCCCAAGAATTTAATAGCAGCTCTCTGTATAAAGGGGATAAAATGAGATAAGTTCGAAATGAAATCTAAGGCATTTTTCCTCCTTTACTCCAACGTAATAATCGTGTAGTGGTAATTTAATTGGTCAGACGATTGAGATTCTTGTGTATTATCAAAATGAGAAATTTTATTTACTGGAATTTTTCTCGGGTTGATCCTTTATTCTATGGAATTATTTTGATTATAGGACATTATAAAATTTCTTTAATTCTATATTTTAAGAATGAGAAACTTTATTCTTTATTTTTACCCAAAATTTTTCTCCTTTAATCCTTTATTCTATGGAATTGTGTCGATTAAAGAATAATACAAAAGAATAAGAAATTTTATTCTATATTGTAACCTAGAATTTTTCAAATTTATCTCTGGTCTACAGAATTGTATTGATTACAAAACACTAAAAAAATTCCAAAAATTACTCCAATTTTCTAACAAATTATTTTTCCCACGAATTTCTCATCTCATTTTTCCTATAATCTTTATTACACCTTTATTATCCATTTGCGTTCCACAAATAAAACATTATCGATCGAATACACTTCCAAACAAAATGAATTACTCAATTCTTCCGTAACATTCTCATATCAAAATCCTGTCGTTCCTTTGTTCCAAAATTACCAAAGAATTTCACAAATCTCCACGGTATTCGTTTTAAAAAACCTTCGAATACACTTCCAAACAAAACGAATTACTCAATTCATTCGTAACATTCTCATATCAAAATCCTGTCATTCCTTTGTTCCAAAATTACCAAAGAATTTCACAAATCTCCACGGTATTCGTTTTAAAAAACCTGTTATCGTTAACCAAAATTTACCACTTCCACGCACGTGACTCACACTATCGTTACATGCCAACCTCCACGTTCCAACCGCTATTTAGTATCAACATCGCCACCGACTATACCGACGATCGAGGAACGCGGTAATCTTCCGTCCAAGCCTTTTCATTCTATTTTAAACAACGATTTACATTCGATCACGATTTACCGTTGACGAGGGATGAGCAGCTGACGGTACGACGTAACGAAGGCTTGCATTTAAAGGGCTCGATCGAGCCGCAAGCAATCGACAAAGTCGACGCGGTCCAGATCGACAGCATGGTGTCATCTCTGTTCACTATTGACAAACTTCTCACACTTCTTCTCTCGATTCCACCCGAAAGAAGAATTTTGCAGAATTCCTCTTCGAGTCACACTATTAATTCCAATACGACCGATTTCCCTATCGACAGATCTCTTCGATTTTAATCGACGATTGAAAGGAGACGCCGAAACGTCTTGTCGAGATTCTACCGAGGAAAATTGACCAATTTTTCGCTGTACAAGCTTGAAAATTTGCGAAGATCTCGGTGGGAGGATCGCTAATAGTGACACGAATCTTCGAAGCACGGTCGATGGAAAACTAAGGCAAAACAACGGCCAGAAACACACTCAACCGCTTGCCAGAGATCTTCGGGGATTAATATAACCTTCGTGGTGTTTGCGTGATCACGCGTCTGTCTATGTGAATAAACGTATCGCGGAGTGTGTATAATTAGTCCGACCGGCGAATGCTGATTTCGAGTGGTTGCCAATCGAGCTATCGGCGTCTTCTTACGGCCCTTTCGCGCCTCGTATTTCCTCGAGGAAAGTGCCTATCCACTCTACGTGAAACGTCGAATTGGAAACACTTCGTTTAAATCGTCCGTTAGTTTCATCTGTGAAACGTTTACGAAATTTGGCTAATGGACGATGCCTGCGAAGCTTGGAAAATTTTGGTTAAATGTTACTATGCTAGATCTGATTAAGAATTTCTTTCTCTAAATGGAAACTGAGGAAATGATCTTATGAGATCTTAGGTTTTGAGAAGGAAACGCCGAGTTGAGTCCAATTGGACGCGCGAAGTGGAATTAATCCAAGATCGAAAATCGCAGGTAGCTTGGAATTAAACGAGAGTTAGTTGTAATTATCGTTATTCCTGATACAACTCTAGCTTCTAAATTATAAACTTGAACTGGTTAATTTTATTGCGTAACGATTTTATAAATGATTCTTGTTTTCAATTTCGAATTACAAGTTTATGTTTAAATTTTGCTTGAAATTCTCTGAATATGACACTGTTCAGAAAGAGTAGTGGTGTAACTCGAAAAAACAATTTTGAGGGAAAAGTATAATAGTTTAAAATTTGCATTTGATTGATAGTTGTGAATAATGATCTACTTTCTGATTTGAAACTAATGAAATTAGAAATGTGTCGTTTTACGTGATAAAAATATTGTAGTTATGGAGTCTATTTATGCAAAAAAATAAAAATGGACGTATTTTCAGTTATGCGACTGCCAATGCCAGTTAGTGATATACGATTGTATATCTTAGGTCAGAATAGGTGAATAAATTATCAGAATTAATACTTCTATATCATTTCATAAATTTTTCCTTAAAATTTTGAGAATTAATCCTACTATACATTCCACAAACTTCTTCAAACTTAGAAAAAAAAATGGAAGTTTGACCAATAGATCAATAAATTTTGAGAGTTAATCCTTCTATGCAATTTTACAAATTTTTCCTTACAATTTTGAGAATTGATCCTTCATACCATTTCACAAACCCCTTCAAACTCAGAAAAAAGGGACTTTATCGAATGAGTTAATAAATTTTCAGAATTGATCCTTCCATATATTTCACAAACCTCTTCAAACATTAAAAAAAGGGGACTTTATTGAATAAGTTAATAAATTTTAAGAATGAATCCTTCTATACACTCCACAAACTTCTTCAAACTTAGAAAAAAATGAAAGTTTAACCAATAGATCAATAAATTTTGAGAGTTAATCCTTCTATACAATTTCACAAATTTTTCCTTACAATTTTGAGAATTGATTCTTCATACCATTTTACAAACCCCTTCAAACATTAAAAAAAAAGGGACTTTATCGAATGAGTTAATAAATTTTCAGAATTGATCCTTCCATATATTTCACAAACCTCTTCAAACATTAAAAAAAGGGGACTTTATTGAATAAGTTAATAAATTTTAAGAATGAATCCTTCTATACACTCCACAAACTTCTTCAAACTTAGAAAAAAATGAAAGTTTAACCAATAGATCAATAAATTTTGAGAGTTAATCCTTCTATACAATTTCACAAACATCTTCAAACTTAAAAAAAGAATCCTATACCATTTGACAAACTTCTTCAAACTTAAAAAGAAACAAAGCTTTATCAAACAGATTAATAACTTTTGAAAGTAAACTCATCCACAATATTTCACAAACATCTTCAAACTTAAACCAACGACAGACCTCATCGAACAGATTCACAAATTTCGAAAAATAACTCTTCCATCCCTTTTCGCAAACTTCTTCAAACTTAAAAAAAAGAAAAGAGAGAAAGAAGCGGAACTTTATCGTCTTACACTATATAACTCTGACAAAAGAATCAGCATAAAGGACGTTAAGAGTTATATCGAGCGCGCTAGAATCGAGTGGATAAAACGGCGGGGTGGAAAGTAGCCGGAAGAATCGTTAACGAGACGTCCAATTGCTTGGGATTAATTGTCAAGCGATTCACGTCCACGTCTGGCGGGAGCAGGTCTGGGAAGAAATTTCAATTAGAAACGGTCACCGTTGCAGCTGTATCGTTTATGTAATTCGTTCTTCCTCCTCTGAAGGAGATGAATAAAAAAAGGAAGAAGAACGACGAAAGAGGGTCGCGTGGTTGCATTGTGTTTCTCATTAAGTTCGGTCAACTTTGAACGCGTCCCTCCACCGAGGGAGAGAAGCTTTTATTAAAAAAATATTTCCTCCGCGACGTGGCTTCGTTAAGTGGCGTTCACGATCGTGAAAAACTTCGTTAACGCCAAGAGAGAATCCTCGATTTCCTCGTCGAAGAATTACCGAACCGATTGGCCACGCATTGGACGATCGTCGAAGAACAACGCTCTCTCGTTCGATGTTTAATAATATCGAACAGAAAAGAAAAAAGAAGAGAAAAAAGGAAGACAAAGCTGCTAATGGAAGGTTGAAACGTGAGCCTTCGGGGATATTAAAAATTCACGACAGAACTTTTTCCGCGTTCGAGGCTAATGAAATTTAGTCGTCGCTCGATAATCCGTTAATTAACTCTCAACTGGAAAAATCGACCGATGATTCGTGTATTTTTTAATAGCGAGTCGAAGATAAGAAGAGACACGTTGCCGTTCAATTTGTGCGTGCTTTTAATGGACCGAAACTTTCCACGTGGATTGAATTCCAGCAAAAATACCTGCTTTTCCCATTCGACGGTTACGATTAAGTATTCAGGACAGTATGTGGATTATATGGTGTGTGTATATAGGTTCCTGGCTTCATTTTACGATCGATGTAATACGTGTTATAGAGCTCGATTCGACGTGGGAATAATAAAGTTTCGTTGAAGTATTATTTTGAGGAAATGAATTGATTTTTTTTTGGGGGGAAGAAGTATGTTCATATAGAATTTGTGGTCCTTTGTTGGTGATTTTTGTAAGTGAGGATTGTTACGCTTTTGAAAGTTTTTTTAATTTCGTTATGTAAATCTCTGCGTAGTTAGTGTTCGATAAATTTTATGCTTATAGAATGCTGTCTTTTAATAGCTGGCGCAAATGTCATTCTTAAAATGCCTTTATTGTATCAATTATATAGTTTATGACGAAGATAGGTTTTGCTGTCGTATATGATACTATGGTACAATGTAAGAGGAAGTTTCTGTGTGTAAATAATTTTTGAGGATTAATATATCGTGTTTTGCGTGTTGAAGATTTGATTACGCTTATGCAGAAGCAATTTTATTTAAATATTTCTTTAATATTTTTGCCTGAACTATGTTATAAATCTATAAAATTTATCTTATAAAACAAATAT